TAAGAGAAAAATGCTAGCTAACACAGTGCAAAAAATTCGTTCATATGGAAAAGTCCAGTAAAAAGAAGTAGGATAAAATTTATCATGAAGTTGGCTATTTGTGATGCATTCCACAGAACTGCTTTATTTTGTAATTAAATATAGAAGGGTCTTAAAGCTTGTATCAAAATTAATATTTATGAATAAAGACTTTTATATTTGATTCACAGAAAGTTTATTTTAAAAAGGACTCAAATACAGGTTTTCTTAAATGAAATTTGTTTTTTTTTTCCTTCTGTGTTTTAAGAATGTCTTGCTTCTTGTAATCTTTCTTAGGTACATAAATACAGTTATACTATATTAGAAAGATAATATAGAGTAAGCCTTAAGAAAATGTAAAGTGATCACCCTTTTTGAAATAAACAAAATCCACCTGAGTAAATTGAAGATATAATTGACTCTATTAGGAAATTCACGAATCAGGCAACATCCCATCTAGCAACCTTTCAGGTGCTGTGAGGGGTTGTACAAAATGAAAGGATTTTATAGGAAGAAGGGTGGGGCAAAGTAGCTATTAGCAAAAGAAAAGAAAGGACTGTTTTTAGGCCAGAACATCTTTGTAGGGGGAAAGGGTGAAGGGAAAGGCAAGGGTTTTATTATATAGATGGCTTCTTCTTCTGGAGGCTGGAGAGAGCCCACATGGCAGATTACCTAATTGGTGCTGACCAAAAAATTCCAGACTGGTTAAGACTACATTTCTGAGGGAACCCTCCTACACTGTTGGTAGGAATGTAAGTTGGTACAGCCACTATGGAAAACAGTATGGAGGTTACTCAGAAAACTAAAAATAGAATTACCATATGATTCAGCGATTCCACTCCTGGGCATATATCCAGACAAAACTCTAAGCCAAAAAGATACATGCACCCCTATGTTCATAGCACCACTATTCACAATAGCCAAGACATGGAAAAAACCTAAATGTCCATTGACAGATGAATGGATAAAGAAGATGTGGTACATTTATACAATGGAATACTACTCAGCCATAATAAAGAATGAAATAATACCATTTATAGCAACATGGATGCAACTAGAGATTATTATACTAAGTGAAGTAAGTCAGAAAAACAAATACCATATGACATCACTTATATGTGGAATCTAAAATATGACACAAATGAACCTATCTATGAAACAAAAACAGACTCATGGACATAGAGAACAGTCTTGTAGTTGCCAAGGGGGAAGGGGTTGGGGGAGGGATGGAGTAGGAGGTCGGAATTAGCAGATGTAAGCTATTATATACAGAATGGATAAACAACAAGGTCCTACTGTATAGCACAGAGAATTATACTCAATATCCTATGATAAACCATAATGGAAAAAAATATATATAACTGAATCACTTTGCTGTACAGCAGAAATTAACTGCTACAATTGTGCTACAGTTTCACAACATTGTAAGTCAACTATACTTCAGTAAAAAGAAAACAACACTACATTTCTGGTGAAGGTTAAAACTGCAATTAGGTTAGATCTTAAATCTAGGTTTGGTATCATGGGCTTTAGCACAAGTGACACCATTTTGGGCCTGTGGCTTTTCTCTTTAACACACTGATGTAATAAACTAACAAAGTAGAAATAGCAATGCCCACATTTATGTTGAATCTCAAAAATCTGTTTTAGTTTGTCTTTTAACTTTTCTGGTGTTATCTATTGTATTAAAGGGGTAGCAGTATTAAACTTGCTTCCTGCACATTCCAACCTCTTTATTTCTTAATGACAAAGAAATCTATGTGTGAAATACTGGTAAAACCGAACCAAAATCAAGAGTATTTTAGCCACTGACGAATCTCCATGTTAATTCAGGTAACATTTACTGTGAATTATTGAGCATGGACAACACGGTGCTATGGAAGTACTGTGGAGATTTAAAGAAAAATTATACTATACTCTGTGTGCTCACTGTCATATTGTCTCTGCCCAATATTGTTTATATTCTTGTAGTTAGGACATATAAGCATAAAAAAAAAAGGTGAAGTACTCAATCTCATAAGACACATTACAAGTGTCAAGAGTGGGACAACCATAATGCCCAGGCGGGTAGAGGCAGGAGAAATTACTGTGGGGTCAGCAGAGATTGACTTGAGCTAGATATTGAATGATGGATTTAGAGGAGAGCAGAAGACAACTCTGCTTGTCTTCTGAAGAAGAGTGAGCGTGATCTAGGAAGGGTGTAAAAAGAGCTATCCTGGAGAATTTCTACTGGGGAGTAGAGGGAGAAAAGGTTAGAAAGTCAAGATGGAGCCAGATTATGAAACTGTAATATCAGCTTTAGAAGTCTGGGCTTCATTCGAATAACAGTGGTTCTGAGATTCCAGTATATACAAGAATCACCTGGGGGAGATAGGTGACTAGATAAATTTTAACTCCTGAGATTCTAATTCAATAGATTTGGGATGGTCCCAGAAAATTGCATTTGGTAAAAAGTCTCCCCAGGTGATTCCTGTACAGGTGGTCCAGTGGCATACTTTGAGACACTCTACCTGAAGACAAAAAATTAAGAATCTTTTCCTAATTGTAGTAACTCTTGCAAATTTTATGCCAATTTTCCATAAGCTTGAAAACACCTAACTGCTAGGCCCAGAGGTCTCTCCTCAGTCTTTGTGTTGCCCCATTTTTCTTCAGTATTTGGCACTGACTGTTTACACCTTGAAAACTATCTTGTTAACAATACATTTTCTGGTTCTCTCTGCCTCTTTGATCTCTATACTATCCTCTGGCCTCTCATATGTTGCCTTTTCTTTATGTTTTCTCAGGATTCTGACTTTGGTCCTCTACATTTCTTCCTTCATTTCATTCACTCCTAACGAGTAAGGAGAACCTTCATGCCAACCTCAGAAGTTTAGACTTTGTCCTGTAGATAAAAAATAGTTATAAAAGTTTCTAAACAGTGGAATATCATACAGAAAGGAATTTTCTAGAAACATTACCTTGGAGATGGTCTGCAAAAAAGGATTAGATGTAGGAGAAATAGGAGGAAGGGAGAATAATTAGACTATCAAAATAAACAGACATTTAAAGTCATCATCAAAGTGTGGCTTCAGAATGAAAATGTTAGTTTTCTAATAGTTCTTCCCTTTCAGAAAGTAGTCTTACTTCAATAAATTAATAGATAAAGCACTTCTAGAAATACTAGTTTCACTATCATGTGAGTTTTTAAGAAATAACTATAATGTAACAAATCAGGTCCTCTGCAATGTTAATCATAGATAATAAAAGTTTGACATGTCATCATTCTAACACCAATGTGAGTTATCCTCCAAAACAAGTGGCATAGGATTCTATAGTATTTGATCCTTATATCTGATAAGCTTAGGTCTTTCATTATGGAGTCAATAAATCATTATACAGATATTATTCATAAATGTCAATGCCTTCTTTTGACTTGAATGAAGAAATGTAAAAGTGTTTGATTTACCTAGTATGAGTATATTCAAGATAAATTCATACTCATTAGTAGTCCATGTCTTATACACAGTATTTTATATAATTGAATCCATGAAGTTTGCCAAATGGACAGATAAAATAGTATTTAGGAATGATATTCTAAGTGCAGTAATTCAGACAGAGAAAGACAAATATCATATATCACTTATGTTATCTAAAAAAAATGATACAAATGAACTTATTTACAAAACAGAAACAGACTCACATAGAAAACAAATTTATGGTTACCAAAGGGGAAAGGGAAGGGAGGGACAAATTAGGAATTTGAGATTAATAGATACACACTACTATATATAAAATACACAAACAACAAGGTCCTACTGTACAGCACAGGAAACTATACTCAATATTTTGTAATAACCTATAAAGGGAAAAGAATCTGAAAAAGTATACATATATATATATATATATATATATATATATATACTGAATCACTTTGCTGTACACCTGAAACTAACACAACATTGTAAATCAACTATACTTCCATTAAAAGAAAGAAATGATACTCTAATTTAAACATTCTAGAATCTTTGAAAAACAGAGGCAGAAGGCACCAAAATTAGGTGTAACCCTACCGCCACCTAATTTAGTACATAAAACAATTTATTGGCTATTTTTTCTCAAGTGATCCACACTGGGAGATGCTAAGCCTTTATGAAGATCAATTTTAACTCTCACTACAAGAAAAGTCAGGGGGATAGAAATTATTGCTCCCTAATGTGTGATCTTGGGAAAATTATTTAAGCATTTTCTTACTTTCCACAGCATTATTGTCATTATATACTGTGAAGATAAAATTAGGTATCTGTTGAATGTTCTTTGAGCATCTTGGGCCAGGAGAGCTACAGAAAGCCAAGGTGTAGTTATTTTCCTATCTACTATTTCTCTTGCCTTTTTCCTCTTGTTCTAGCCTCCTTGGAAATGAAACAAACTTGGCTGTCATCTTCTGTTTAATAACTCTTCATGTAGTTGAAATTTCTATTCTCCACAAGTACCACAATCAAATTTCTTCTTAAGGAGAATTGCCTGAACTATAAAATAGCAATCTAGGGCTGTGAGTCAGCATTTCACCCACACACATCAAAATGATTTAAAATAGGTAACACATAATCTTTTTGAAAGACATATAAACCTCCTTGGAGAAGGTCTGAGAAAATTGGAGTTTGAAAGTTTATGAATAGTTTATTACATTTCAATAAGTGTATTGTGAATCAATAAAGCAAAAGTTAAGGACAAATGACCTCACTACCAAGTCAGTTATTGATCCTTAAGTTCCAAAATAGAATAGTACAGGAAGGATATAGAGAAAATAGGACTTTTTGTGGTAACGGAAACTTTAAGTATCTTAGGAACATAAACCTAAAGAAATTATGACACAAAGAATTTTCAACAGCTACTTAAGATGTTTCTTCAAGTCATTGTTTTCATCTTTTTGATAACTAGAAACACTATTTCATTTTCACTCTTTAAAATATTAAATCAAGTCAAATGAGTTTGTAAAAAATGAACATTACCTTTTATTGATTCATTTATTCTTTCAATTTCTTGTATATCTTCCTCTCTTGGCTTTGAAAAGTCTACCTTATTAGATGTTTATCTTATGTGACTGTCTTAGCTTGGGCTGTTAGAACAAAATACCATAGACTTATGGTGGCTTAAACAACAGAAACTTATTTTCTTACAGCTCTGGAGGCTAGAAGTTCAAGATCAGGGTGCCAGCACGGTTTCTGGTAAGGGTTATCTTCCTGGCTTGTAAATGGCTCCCTTCTCACTGCATTCTCACATGGTGGGCAGAGAAAGGGTGAGCAAGTTCTCTGGTGTTTCTTCTTATGAGGACACTAATCCCATCATAAGGGCCCCACTCTCGTGCTCTATCAACCCTGATTACCTTCCAAAGGCCTCATGTGCAAATACCATCACATTGGAGGACTTCAACATATGAATTTTGGGGTGGGGGCAGGACACAAAAATACACTAATAGAAAAAATGATACTGGCTCCAAATCATTAAGTCGATAAAATGGAAATGAACAAGTCAACTTGTTTTCAAATCATTCCAGTAGACAGCTTCCCTTTTTATTCCTTTTATTCCTTTTATAGCAATCTAAACCAACAAGAAAGGAACTTCCTAAAAAAATTTATGAACATTAATTTAATGAAACAGTAACTTTTAAAAACCAAAGACAGAAAATGCAACACACATTGTTTTGGTAAAAAACTGAGAAACAGAATATTAAGCCATTAATATATTAAATAAAAACAACTTTTAGTCCCCCATACCTTATTGTTATATCAACTAAAGATTCTTAAAATAATTTAAAGCACTTGGATGTCCTTGGAAAATAATATTAAAATGTACAATAACATTTCTGTATTATATTTTTATAGATATTATTAGAAGGAATAGTAAATTGCATATTCTTTCATTCAAAATATGGAAATCTGAAATACTAAAACCAAATTGACAAAATTATAATCGTAACACAAATAGTGACTTTTACTACATATTACATACATTTGAGGGTATAAGAAACATATTTTTCTTGATTGCACAAAATGCTTAATTGCAAAATGCTTAAATACAGCTCTCTAAAAACATTTCCATGTTCTTATCAATGACCATAAAGCGAATACAAGGCATTTTTCAAAATTTTGAGTGTGAGTTTAGGGGAAAGCAGGATGGAAGGTGACTGAGATCCAGAGTTTAGGTGATGTGGCGAGGTCATCCAAGTAGCAGGCTGCAGAGGTATGGATGGGACCCAGGATTTTCTTGTCTAAAAATGCTGCAGATTAGCGTACTCAAGCAGAAGGGGAAGAGAATCTAATTACAACTGTAGAAACTTTTAATTTTTCAAAACTCAATTAGGTGTGTGTATGGTCCATTGGTGTCGAGCTTTAACACCTGCCTGTTGCCGTAAGTGCCATGTTCCACCACAACCCCAGCTTCAGCACACTTGCTGTTAGCAGCTAATTCTTTTTTACAGAGAGTCACAAATTGGGAATAAAGTTCTAACCCCTCTTCTTTTCCAGAGTTAGAGTGATACTGCATGCTTCTTCCTTTTACTCTCCCCCCAAGGGTGGCTTGAGGGATGATAAGAATGTTGCCAGGTAGATCCAATACAGAGACACGCTTGCCATTTTCTGTTTCACTTAATTTCACATTTAACAGTGTATTAACTGGGTAGGGAAGAAAGGAGAACATTTTGAGGTAGAAAACAAACATGAAGAAAACCAACGATCTTCTAGTCAGCAAACCTCATGTTTAAAATCCAGTTTGTCAGCTCATGCTTTTAACCCAAAGTTTCTATTTAGATTTTAAAAGCTGCTTCAGTAAGCTAAATGATCTAAGCATGAAAAACAAGGAAAATTTCATGCAGAAAATGGCATGATGTTTTAAATCTGACTTGGCAGTTAGGATCTCCTAACAATAAGATAATCCAGAAAGGACTAAAGAATTAACTGTATACTGGAACTTCAAGATATTGTTGCCCTGGGGGATACATGAAAAGATTTTGCCTTTTTGTTCCTTTTTATATTTCAAAACAAATCCCACTGGAAAAAAAACATGACAGATCCTCCACACACTTATTCTACTTTATAACAAAGAACATTAAATAAAAACCTTAGTGCATTTATTATTTTAAACTTAGTTGCCTAGAATTCTAAGCTGAGTCAAAGGTTCCAGGTTCAATCCTGTTATAAACTAGTTGATTTTGCAGTTTTATAACCTCAAAGACATTATTAACAAAGACTAATTATTTTACAAACATCACCAGTGTGAGAAGGATAAATGTGAAAGCAAGAATCATCAGAAATTCACTGTCAACTGGGAAAGTAAATCCAAAGGTATAGAGTTACTGGCATTATCTTCATATACATACAGGAAAATATTGTATTATTATTTTTATGGCACTTATGCAAGTATACTCATAGCTAATAAGAAGTGTCAAAATAACCATAAATATCCATGTGTAGCTAAAAAATCTAAACTTAGAAAATCTTTACATTTCAACATTAGCCATTTTCAAAACAATAAGCAAAAGAAATGTCTAATATAAACACCCTTAGGGTCTTCCTACCTCTGTAAAGGGTATAAATAACTTCTACTTGTAAAGAATAGTCCTGAGAGGACACAAACAGTAAAAGAACTATTGAAACCTCACACTCCTGTGTGAATAATCAGGCTTGAAAAGGTATGCTTTCTGGTGGGGTAGTCAATGGTTTCAACTATTAGAGAGCCTGTAGTAAATATTAGCAAGGATTCAGTACAGTGGCCCCACTCTACAAATCAAGGAATTAACCTGGTGAAAACCTGCTAAGGTGAACACCCAAATGAATTCCTAAGCTCTGCATTAAGCACTATCAGTTTTCATTTAACTAATGCCTATTTTAAAATACCTCTAGGGACTTCCCTGGTGGCGCAGCGCTTAAGAATCCGCCTGCCAATGCAAGGGACGTGGGTTCGATCCCTGGTCTGGGAAGATCCCACATGCCGCAGAGCAACTAAGCCTGAGCGCCACAACTACTGAGCCTCTGCTCTAGAGCCTGCGAATCACAACTACTGAGCCCACGTGTTGCAACTACTGAAGCCCACACGCCTAGAACATCTGCAAGGAGAAGCCACTGCAGCGAGAAGCCTGCGCACCGCAACGAAGAGTAGCCTCCGCTCGCCACAATTAGAGAAAGCCCGCGCGTAGCAATGAAGACCCAACACAACCAAAAATAAATAAATAACTCTAATTTTCTCTATTACAAATAGGACTTTGCTATACAGCCTGCAGTCCTATTGATTGCTTCTAAGAAAACTATAATTCTCTGGAGCATTTCATTCCATGTAAATCACTATCCAGCTATCCAGGCCTCAGGCTAGTGACAGACTAAGGAGGCAGTTTTGAAATAACAGGCCAGAGAGGTAAGTATAATTTATTATACTTCCACACACTTCCCTCTACTGGATCTGAGAATTCAATTAATGCTGTTGGTATACAAATATCAGTATGTAGAAGTAAATATAATACAAATGTCAGTAAGTAGAATTAAAATGAGACAATGAATTAATAGCATCTTGGAAACTCAAAGATTCTAAGACAGGTTGTCGATCAAATATCTCTAATGATGTATATGGGAAGTTAAGTTTTGACAGGGCCCTGGATCTCTGTCCAATTATACTGAAGATGAATTGAGGAAGATTCTGCACATCTATACATTAGCCATGCTATTTCAGACTTTATGGATATAACTGGCTGTTATGTTCCCAAGGGCTACATGATTTGATTGGAAAGATCTGAATCCATGTAATAAGTATGAGGTCGGGTTTAAGAGAATCCCATCACACTGGCTTACTTTGCCTACTGGAACAGAAGAAAGTACAAGCTACTACTATCAATAATAGATGGACTTATTTTGCTTACAACTCACACCAGTAGAATGTGATTCTTAGAGTCACAGCTCTTTACTGAGAATCATGATATATAAAAGCTTTGTGTTAGACTACCCACTAGAAGAGTTAAAGTGGACTTCCTCAGTGTTTTTATTTGGCCACAATTTGGCCAAAAATGCTCTTCCTGTTTTTGAAGATTTCTACTATATAGCTTTCATGGTCAAGAAAGCTTTAATTCAAGGCAGAAACAGACAGAATGTCCAATATCCAAGCATTAAGTCCTGGCAATAACCCTCTGTAACAGGAGACCTCATTTCATTTTCTCTTTAAACCCTTTAAAGCTCCCTATTATCCTTCAGGTTCAAATTTCATTTTTTTTTTACATCTTTATTGGAGTATAATTGCTTTAAAATCATGTGTTAGTTTCTGCTTTATAACAAAGTGAATCAGTTATACATATACATATGTTCCCATATCTCTTCCCTCTTGCGTCTCCCTCCCTCCCCCCCTCCCTATTCCACCCCTCTAGGTGGTCACAAAGCACCGAGCTGATCTCCCTGTGCTATGCGGCTGCTTTCCACTACCTATTTATTTTACGTTTGGTAGTGTATATATGTCCATGCCACTCTCTCGCTTTGTCACAGCTTACCCTTCCCCCTCCCCATTTCCTCAAGTCCATTCTCTAGTAGGTCAAATTATTACAGTTACTTGCTTTCCATCCTCACCTACTGCAGTCCCTTCTCAAGTCTAGTTTTCATCCTCTGACAAAGTTGTTAAACATGTTTGATGTCTCAGCATAAAATCCCCTCTAGAAGCTTTAGCCCTTTGTCCAAGCTGTTCCTCACTGGGCTATTTACGCTTGAGTTCCACTACTTAAAGCTCTTCTAGGTTAACTTCCGCCTGCTTCAACTACCAATCTATATAATTTATATTTATTAATCCAACTAATGGGTACTGCCTTTACTAATGGAGAGAATATACCCTGTCCCCAACCTTAGGGACAGCTTGACTATTTCAGGCTTCTTTTTTTGTACATAATTATTCTATCAAATACTGTCTTGAGATAGTATATAATTTGATTTGGTATATCTGAACCTACGTAATTATCACAAGGAATGTGCAGTGATATAGAATATCGAGGACACTGGAAAGCTGCAGACAGGTACATTATTGTTCAGAGATGCCCGAACGCTGACTCTTTCTCTGCCCGCAGAGGAGGTGTGGCTGTGATGACACTGAGCTTGGTTTAATAATCATCTTTATACACATTTCCTACAAAGAAGTGCATAAATGGTTAATGTAAATTCTTTTATAATAATGATATAAGCCTGATCTTCACATATTTGATGGGAACCACATGTTGTACATACAGTGTCACCTCTATGCCCCTGTTAGGGACTCTGAGAGATAAGGAGACTATATTAAGAAATGCAGCATCTATTTCTCTCTATGTGGCCACCCTGCTTCCAACAAGTTTCTGTATCCTTGGCTGAATCTCAGTGTGTTGTCTGTGTGTGTGTGTGTGTGTGTACACTCTTCTAAACCAATCTATAAACGATCTGAAATGCTGCAGATATTTTAAAAGAATTCTACCACATTTGCTTACATTAAGCTTTGGAAAAGGCAAACAGCTAAAGTCAACAACAGTACACAGAGTTAAGTCATTTATAACTTACATACCAGTACAATTTAAGATTGTGCTTTTTTCCCCTTCTGATTCATCTATCTATTGCTAGTCACTCTCACTCTTAAAAAAGAAACATCAAACACATACCCATTTTGGGAAGAAGCTCTTTATCAGCTCCCTTGAAAAAGCACAGGTAGATCACTAATCCTCTCTGGACCTATGAGAAACCACAATAAATTCAGATTAGAAAGAAGCTTCTATATACAGAGGTAAATGAATAAAATTTCACAACCTTTATAGATAAAAGGTTAAATGCAAAAGAAGAGGAATAACTTTTGATAATAGATTTAATTTCTTAAATATGTGAGAAAATAAAATCTTTTTCAATATTCAGTCACCTCAGTAATCATTTTTCAAAAATTAAGTTTAAAATACAGCCAAGAGCAGTAAAGACCCCAAGTTATACCTTCAAACATTTACTTCTTTTTTTTTTTAATTAATTAATTTACTTTTGGCTGCATTGGGTCTTCGTTGCTGCATGTGGGCTTTCTCCAGTTGCAGTGAGTGGGAGCTACTCTTAGTTGCGGTGTGTGGGCTTCTCATTGCGGTGGCTTCTTGTTGTGTAGCACGGGCTCTAGGCGTGTGGGCTGCAGTAGTTGTGGCACGTGGGCTCAACAGTTGTGGCTCACAGGCTCTAGAGAGCAGGCTCAGTACTTGTGGCGCACGGGCTTAGTTGCTCCGTGGCATGTGGGATCTTCCCAGACCGGGGCTCAAACCTGTGTCCCCTGCATTGGCAGGCGGATTCTTAACCACTGCGTCACCAGGGAAGTCCCCAAACATGTACTTCTGATCAAAATCATTAGTACTATGAACTAGCCTCTTCCTAAGTATGGCTGACAGACTTATAAATATTTAGTTTGCAGGGGCCCATTTATTCAACACCAAATGAATTCACATTATATCAGATATGGCTGATGTATAAACAACACTGTAACTGATATGTTTTTTGACATCATCATTCTTTGTTCCTCCTAATCCATTTACTTATAGATAATGAAAATAAGGGTCTGATTCTACTTCAATAAACTCCAAGAAACTGCTGTCCAATTATTTTTTGTTATTTTTGTTAATACATTAAATACACAGTGATTAAACCTTGGAAACTGCATTCATATTAAGTTCTACATCAAGAGGTTTTCTGTTATCAGGAATGTAAGCTTATTTATTTTATATAATGACTTGGATAGTTCTTTATTAGCTCTTGTAGGATAGAGACTATACAGAAAAGAGACAGTTGACAAATGACTTTGATTTTGCTGCAGAGTGAATCATTAAATTTTTTATTTTGTAGATTAACCTTCTGAGTCCAACAGCTATTACAAAGATTGAGTTAATATCTGTAAAGTGCTTAGAACAGTGCCTGGTTCATAGTAAGAGCGATACAAGTGTGTATTAAGTGACTATGTAAAAAGAAATTTAAGGACTGAAACACAATATATTTTACGTCTTAACTCCCAAAGCACTTTACAGACTGTTTTGTACATGATAGGGACTCTGTTGGTTGCATTTAAGTTCTACTGTATATTACAGGCTCTATGTGTTATCTAAATACTCTTGTAAATAAACAGAAATGCAGCTCTGCATTCACACCTGATTTACCTGGATAAGAAGTAACCTTTTATAAGAGTAATTGTGCTCTTGAACAAACAAGTGCCTCCAGGGCACACCCATAAGTAAGGAGGTGGCAGGTTGAATAATACAGATATCTGCACCACTGTCACAGCTCTCTACACTGGGATTGTTTCAGCACAGGCCAAAATTTCTCAAGCATACTCGTATTTGGACACATGCAATGTCAGAATTAAGTAATTGCAGGAATGAACACCTGTTGGGACTTCTCTGGTGGCCCAGTGGTTAAGACTCCACCCTTCCATTGCAGGGGTTAGATCCCTGGTCAGGGAACTAAGATCCCACATGCAGCATGGCTTGGCCAAAAACAAACAAACAAACAAAAAAACACTAGTTCTTTCCTTCTACTCACCACACTACCTCTTCATTAAGGTATTTTCTTTTAGTTTATTCCAAAAATAGCTCTTAAATTGTGATCTACAAATTCCCCTCCTCAAGGCAGAATCACCTTCCTTGTAGCTTCTTTCGGTATAAATAGAACATTTCAAATATATAGGAAAGTACACATAATTCTCACTGTAGGTTAAAAATGTTCACCTTCCAGGAAGAAAAACATTAGCCTGTGACAGCAAACGTCTAAATGAATGAAACCAAGAACACGCAAAGTAACCTTCAAATCAAAAAGTAAACTTAAAAACAATTAAAAATGTTTTTTTTAAAAATTAGAACTTTTACTAATAGAATAGCTGATGCTTGAGAAAGAGGAAAGAATTTACTCTCTAATTACTCGTCAGCTCTCCATACTAATTTAGCCATGTGTGGGAGTGGAAGAGAAAGCTTTAAAATAGCTTTTAAAGTTAATAAACACACTGATAGTTTGGAAGGCTGCAATAAACTATCCGTGATTTTGCACAAGGAGATGTGACATGAAGAATATAAAAGGATAAAGAAGCATGGAAGAAATCTAAATGATTAACAGTTTGGGATTTATAGTCCCATGAAGCAAGTATAAAAATAGGCAATTCTTTGGACAGTATGGCAAAAATAATAAAATCTCAAAATAGGGAAGAGAAATTTTTAAGAGACCATAACAAAAGAAATAAGAAATGAATTTTTGAGAAAGAAAAAGGGAGGGCAAAAATATAGGACTGTTTATGCTTATAAATATTTCCAAATTACAAGGGAGTAACAAATAGTGATTTAAGAATAGTCACCCACATATAGTTCATGGGTAGTATTTAAAATAATAACTAGGATTGTGTTAAGGAGTGCTAGATTTGGGACGGAATTCAGCAGATGAATGAATGAAATACTCCTACATTAAAGTTTCTGAGTACCTCCACCAGTTTTACTTATTATTATTACACATTTTTTTCCTTCATTTCAACTTACTCCAAAAAATAAGTCGGGGGCCTTAAAGAAAATTTTGTTTTTGCATGGAATTTTGCATATGGACAGGCTCTTTTAAAAAGGAAAATATTCAAGCAGAAGGATATCATATTGGTGTAAACGTTTTAAATTCTCTGGAGGAAATGTGTTTGATAACAATGCAACATTATTATAAAAGTAGTCATCTTTGTTCCTGGTGGGAAATAAGTCAAGTTTTTAAAAGTTTCTTGAAAAAAGAACTGCTTCATGGGCAATCTCACGACTGTGCTAACACCTAGCTGCAGTCAACCTAAGAGGGAATTCGACGGGATCCGGAGCACAAGTCAAAACAGATCTTGAACGCGTGCAACAAATCTAACCTAGAAGCTCGAACCAGATCAGGACAACTCACCAGCAGCCCGAGCATTGCGCAGGGCGTGGCAAGGCTTTTTGCTCTTTTGAAGCAAGAGGTCTGAGCTACTAGGCCTAAAGTCCACAGAGCTCAGGTAGGCAAACGGTGAGGGGAAGCTCCCAATTCCCGGGGTGCCAAGCAGGGGACACCCTCTTCCTCTCAGAAAATAAGTCCGAGGGAGAAAGGGCCAGGGCCGGTGGTGCAGGACTGAGGAGAGTGGCGACCACAGCTAGGCACTGAGGGCAGCGTTGGGCGGACCGGCCGGGAGTCCCGCCCCGCCCACTGCACGTGCCACAGGCCACGCGACCGGCTCGGAGGGAGACGCGAGGGCACAAATCGCCTAGACAGTGCGGTGAGAACCGCCCCTGCGCGCCACAGGATAACCGGAGCTGCGGAGCCGACGTTACCTCCACCCACTGGGCCGCGGCGTCCCCTTCGGCGGGGCGTACTTGCAGCCGGGCGTGCAGGCACTGCTGCAGGAGGGCCCGGGCCTGAGGTGGCCGGCCACTTTCAGCCATGGCTCAGGCCCGCGCGGATATCCCCCAGGTTCCAGCCACGCGCCACAAAGGCCCGCCCCCGGCGCTCAGGGAGCATTGGACAGGGCGCGACGCGGCGGAGGTACGTGCTGGTCGCCCGTGGCCCCGCCTCCAGAAGGGCGGGGCCTCTGACTGGCTCTTCGGTGGCCCGGATGTGCGGTCTTAAAAGACTTGTAGGTACTAACCCTTACCCCAACCTACATGCAATTCGGTAGAAGGCGCTCAGTGTATGCTTTTAAGCGAGTGAAAAGACCCAGTGGTTCTCTTCCCAACATACCTTTTTTTTTTTGCGGTACGCGGACCTCTCACTATTATGGCCTCTCCCGTTGCGGAGCACAGTCTCCGGACGCGCAGGCTCCGGACGCGCATGCTCAGCGGCTATGGCTCACGGGCATGTGGGATCTCCCCGGACCGGGGCACGAGCCCGTGTCCCCTGCATCGGCAGGCGGACTCTCAACCACTGCGCCACCAGGGAAGCCCCTAGCATACCTTTTAAAGAGACATTTTTCAGCTCAGAAAGCTTAAGTTTACAGACGTTGAAAATTTTTAAATCTGCTAAGTCCATATTATGCCCATTGTGAAGACAGGTAAATAGAATGAGTCAATTGAATCACAAAACAAGCGGAGGTGGAACTGAAAGCTATAAATCTTTCAAAAAAATCTCCTTACCCCAAATAATAAAACAACGCTTCCTCCTCTATCAAGAATGCTATAAATCATTCTGTTCTCGCAGTTGTGGAAAGGTATTGGTAGGCTATGTGAATACATATTTGGAGATCAATCTTTTAGAGAATATCCTTGCTAAAAAAATTCTTATCCAAGAAAGTGTTTGATTTTAATAAATTTTTAAACATGCTACTAATTCAAAAATAAAATGACATAGTCTGATGCACATAATGATACTGAATTCTGTGGTGTTTCCTGTAAGTACATATTAGAGTGTAAATGAAATTAAACAAGGGCTTGATTTTCTTTCCCACATAATGTATTCCTTGAACCTGCGTCAGATTAGCATTATTTTTCTATGGGCTTGGAGGGTTTAGATGAAGAATAATAGTGTTACCCTGACTGCGTTACCCAGGTCATTGATTTGGGCTCAGTTGGCACAATATGCCTATACATCCTGGTCTCTGTTTCAGAAGATGACATCACTGACAGTGTTGCTATCCATATAAAGTAGTGTAGCTGAAGAAAATAATCTATGTGTAATGAACAGTCCTTTCTACACAGAATTGAAGCTGCCTGTTTGCTGGTTATCTTGCAGGCTGCCTTTCACTTTTTGTAAAAACAGAAAGCAAAATCTCACATTATCTCTGATTGAGGGATTGCAGGGGTTCCTACATTTGTTGACATTTGTCTGCAGAGCACAGACAAATTGCCTTGTCTGCACCTTTATGTCTCTTTTCTCTTTCACTCCCAGACTCAAGTTTTACAGGCTTGAATGAACTTTGACATAGAGGGCCCTTAGCCTTCACCCAGAATAAGAGAGGACTTCATGTCCGTTTGTATATGGGTGTAGGAGATAGGGAACTCTCTTGAAAATAGTCTGTGGTTCCCAGAAATTTTTCCACAGTGAAGGGACGTTAGCAAATTGAGAAATCCTTCCTGTGAGTAGATGGAGTCTGGTTGGTAATGGTTAGCCTCTCAAAAAACACCAATTACTTTAAATCTTCCTGTTAAGTGAGGATCTTATTCTTTCTTTCTACCTGCAGAGGGCAGTAGAGAGTAGGCACTAAAGAGAAAGTATTTACTTTCTGTATTTTATTTATTTTTTTGAACATCTAGTTTCATTCCACAAAGAATTTAAGAAGGTCAACCATACCTGCAATAAAATAGTGAAATGTGAATAAAAATAAAGCATAAGGAGTAAAGAAAATGGAATTATGTCAGTTGGAAAATTGAAAACAAATAGACAAGACAGTGGTTCTTGACTGGAATGCTGAGATGATAACGTAGCAAAGTTTTCACAGATATACAACTTCAATTTTTGTTATAAAACAGTTATGTTCATCACATGTAATGTTGACGTGGAGCATGTTGTACAATTTCCTTCAAGTTAGATGTAAGAGGCAAAGCACAACATTAAGTTGGCTCTAGAGGAAGAAGATTCACTGGAACATAAGAGATCACTGTCTGGGCAAGAATAGTTCTCAAACAGCTACAGTGCTGAAAGGAGACCATGCAGCTAGTGCATTAGTTATGAAAGCATTCTAGGCCCTCTGAGACGGTATAATAATTTAGAGTTATTTTAAGTTGTTTAATTCATTCAAGTTGGCTGCCCCAAATTTTAACAGAGAACCACTTCTGAAAGATCCTTTACAGCTGATAGTAAGCTTCCTGATTGTAAAGAGGAAAAGAAAGAAAAATGAACTGTTTCGTAATCTGTTTCATAGACTAAGAAATCTGTTTCTTGGACTAAGCAGAGCTTTACGTAAGATTTAGCTCTAGAATGAACCTCTTGCCCGAGGCTTTACTTGGAGGTATGTTAATCAGTAGATATGCAACAGGAAGAGATAGAGGTTTCATTTCAGGGAAGGCTTGGAAGAAATCTAGCCCCCTACCTCAAAGCTTAGAGAGGTTTTTCTTTTTGTTTTTTTTTTTCCTCAGTGCCTAGGGAGGTGATCAGTTTCTGAGAAATTAGTTCATACTAACTAAATTGCACATGAATTGGGATAGAACCAGAATACTAATTTATTCATTTGTAGTAAGAAATATTGCTGTGACATGGAGTGGAAATTCTCACATAAGGCATGATCAACGCATTTTCCCTTGTGCAAGCAGGGTATACTAGATTATATTCAGAAGTCTCTTTACCAATTTACTATGAGAGATAGTCACTCTTCTACCAGGGTATCTGAAACAGGTGTGAAAGACCCAGGTGAATTCGGGCTTCAAGACACATGGCGCACCTGGTGGCCTCTGAGACAGTGGTGGCGGGGCCCGCGGCTCTGGCCTGGGGCGCCCAGGCTGCGAGGGGAGCTGCCGCCGCCTCGGGCCCATGGGGTCCCCTTCCCCCAAGGCCGCTGAGAGGCAGCTGGCCGGGGAGCTCATCCCTCCGTGGGTGAGCGAGCTGTCCCGGGCCGTGTGGACCAACAGCCTGTGCCTGGCACACGGCGGCGGCAAGATCCTGCCCAACAGCCCGGTGCTCAACACGCACCTGGTCAAGAGCCACCACCAGCAGGATGGCATAGAGAATCCAACAATAGGAAGAGATTTGAAAACTGTCCTGAGGTTCTGCTGTTGTCCGATGGAAGGATGCCCGAGAGGCCCTGACAGACCAAGTTCTCAATTTTCTCTCAGAAAACAGCACTTTATGAAAATGCATGCGGAAAAGCAGCACAAACATAGTTAAGTGCAGCAATTCGTATGGCACTGAGTAGGACTTGAAAAGACATCCAGAGGATTGTAGCAATACCTTCCAGTGCACATGTGGCTGTCCCTATGCCAGAAGGACTGCATTTACAGTCCCACATCTACCGAACTGGCCGTGCGATCCCTGCAGAACACAGGGATCCATCTAGTAAGAAAAGGAAAATGGAAAAGTGCCTGCACAACCAGAAGTTGTCCAGTAAGACCAGTAAATCACTGAGCAACCAATCAACCCCAATACCAGATGCTCAAGAGCTAGAAACTTCAGAAATAAAGCTAATGGCTTCTTTTGAAGACTCTTGCAGCTCTAATGCCAGAAAGCAGACTCTTCCAACACGTCCAAGGTATCCTCAGAAGTTGCTTTTACCAAAGCCTGAAGTGCCTGTCTTTGTGCCTACAGCAGACTCCTCAGCCCAGCCTGTAGTGTTGGGTGTCGATCATCAGGGCTCTGTCCCCCCGGTTCTGTGCACTTACTGCCCTTGTCCATAGGAACCCTGATCCTCGGCCTAGATTCAGAGGCTTGCTCTCTCAAGGAGAGCCTCCGTCTTTCAAAAATTGTAAATCCCGTTGCTGTTGAGCCAATTAGCACAGGTGTTCAAGTGAACTTGGGTAAAAGTCCATCTAACTCTTTACAAGAACTAGGGAACACATGTCAAGAAAACAGCATTTCTTCAATCAATGCACAGGCAGACCTGTCTTACACCACACAACACTTTTTACTGTCTGCACAGTGGGCTAGCCCTGATTCCTCTGTATCACCTTGTTCGTAAACTGATTTGACATTTGGTTCTCAAGTTCCCCTTCCCATTAGTGTTCATACTCAAAATTTTTGCCCAGCTCTAAGGTAATCTCATCTATAGCTGCTCAGACTGATGTATTTATAGATCCCAGTTTCCCGTCAGGTGGGATCTCTTTTGAGAGAAACTCAGACCAGTGGAATGCGAAGTCCAACAGATGATCGAGTACAGATAGACCAAGCTGTAATGTGTGGAGACATTTTTGAGAGTGTTCATTCATCATATGATGTTTCTACAGACAAATTATAAGCAGCAGCTTAGTAGCAGAGACTGTAACTCATGGTTTGTTACCTCAGAACCACCCTAAAACTTTAAATCAAGATATGGAGAAATCTGAACCAATCATGAACTTCATTCAGCACACAGAATAGTACACTTTCTTCACAGAACATGACAGATAATCGGACCTGAACCAGGGATTTATTAAGTGATCTGGAAAACATCTTGTCAAGTAATCTGCCTGGTCAGACACTGGACAATTGTAGTCTTCGTCTGACACAAGTAATGGACCTGATACCCAGCTCCCATCTGGCCCAACCCAGAATCCTGCAGTTGATTTTGATATTGAAGAGTTCTTTTTGGCCTCAAACATCCAGACTCAAACTGAAAAGAGTGAACTTAGCCCCATAACCACTGAGCCAGTCTTGGAATCGCTGGACATGGAGACCCAAACTGACTTCTTACTTGCAGACACCTCTGCCCAGTCCTACAGTCGTAGAGGAAATTCTAACTTCTTAGGCCTTGAAATGTTTGACACGCAGACACAGAGGGACTTGAACTTCTTTTTAGACAGTAGCCCTCATCTGCCTCTGGGAAGTATTCTGAAACACTCCAGCTTTTCCATGAGTATTGATTCATCTGACACAGAGACCCAAACTGAAAGAATCTCCGCTGCTAAACACCTACCTGCTCTAGA